CTCCTGAGGGTAGTTTGGAGTTGTGAACTACGGCTTTTCCTTCTGTTCTCTTCCTTCCTCTCCTGCTGTGTGTTCTGTGACAGACACCGCACAGCTCCTCCTGGTGGTCTCTGATGGACGCGGCCTCTTCCTTGAGGGCAAAGACAGAGTCCTAGCAGCAGTTCAGGCTGCCCAGAATGCTAACATCTTTGTCATTTTTGTTGTGTTGGACAACCCCAGTTCGCGGGTGAGTGATTACTAAAAGCCACTTTTCTAGGGGGGGAAGTGGGGATTCCCTTCAAGCTGTCCTGTCTGAAAAATGGCCTGGGTCTCACCATCATACTGAGAACTAACATTCACGGCACCCTGAAGGGCGCTGTTCTGGGCACTTGATAGTTATATTCTCATGTAACTGCGCAGTAATTTAGTGATTAGGGATCGTTAGTCCCACTCTACCATAAAGGACAAAGAAACAAAGCAGTTATATAGCTAATGAGTAGGAAGCCCGGATTCAGAATGGCACAGAGACCATCCTCATGACCACTTTCCATGCTGACTCGTACTCTGGGGGGGGGGTGTCACCTCCCCCTTCACGGCATCACTGCAGGTATCGCAGCCTTGCTCTCTGTAGACCGGCCCTTCCCAGGGCTGTATCTTGTAGCTCGGCCGAGTCCTCCTCAAAGGAGGAAGCATCAGTCACTTCATGAAAGAGGTCCACAGGGTGGTTCTGTTCAGGGGAAGTACTGTGTCTGCAGGTCACATTAAGGCCTGGATAGCAAGTTAAAGATTTAATGTGAATTATTACAAGTAGATAGGAAATACCATTGTAAGGAAATCAGGTTTTTTTAATCTTCCCCTCTCCTCCCCTTTAAGTGTCCATTCTCCTAGAAGGGGTGCTCAGAAAGAGATCTGCCTCCTCCTTAATGATTGTTCTAAAAATTGTTTTACTTAATAAAAGCTACTTTTATATGCAGGAACTAGAACAGGAGACCTAAAAATTGTCTGCAAAAGAGATCATAGGAGAGCTAGCCAAGGACGCTGGATTAGTTTTTATCTCAAAATGTTTTCTGTTGCCAGGATTCTATCTTGGACATTAAAGTACCAATATTTAAAGGACCTGGAGAGATGCCTGAAATCCGATCCTACATGGAAGAGTTCCCATTCCCATTCTACATAATTCTTCGTGACGTGAATGCACTTCCTGAGACTCTAAGCGATGCTCTTAGGCAGTGGTTTGAGCTGGTGACGGCCTCTGACCAACCATAGAACACAAGAACACTGCTTGCCAAGTGCTCCCTGTTGGACAACTGTTTCTGAACTCCCAGCTCTAAAATGGTATTTTATCTTAGACTTGATTTATGAACGTTCACCCAACTGCTACAAAAAATTTATTGCAGTGTACATTTTATTTTACACTATGATTTCAGGGCCGAGAGAAAGCGCTCGTGCTCCTGCTGTGCCTGGGCTACAGTTCCTGTAACAAACTCGGGCCAGAGTAGGAACCGCAGCAGGTGTCTGGTCTCGTACCTGGGGGAGCATTGCCCTCCGGCTTGTCCTGGAAGCCCTGGCCCAAGAGGTGGCTGCACTCCAGCCTTGGGGCCCAGCTGCCTGCTCTCCTTCACAGGGACCGCTGGACACAGGCCAAAATGAACTCTCCTGCCCCTGCTCTAAGGCTTGGCCTTGCCAGGCACACAGTGTGTACCCAAAGCTGTCAAGGGGCTAAGACGGCTGCAGCCTTCTAGAGCCTCATTGTGTTTCCTTACTGTGCTGATGAAAGAAGCTGCCTTCTCTTGGTGGGGTTGTGGTATGTGTGTTCTCACAAAGCATCAGAAAGTGATCCTTAGGCTGTGTACAAATGAAGTGGCTTTTCAGTGTCCACATTTGCTGCTTCGGGAGACTATGCAATGACAGAAATGATTTTTCCCTTTGTTTATTTCTTTCTCTCAGTGCCATAGTCCTTGTTGTTTAATAATTTATTTCTTTAGTTCACTTTTTTCTTAACAGTTAAGAGGAAGACTCATTCCTCAAACTGCTTTCAAGCTGAACTGAGCCGGTCTCATTCTGGAAAAGAAATGCTGTGTCCAGAAGAACTAAATAGCTACATCTTTTTTTCCAGTCAAAATACATCAACCGTTTTAAGGCAGTTTTTACTTGGCCAGAAAGCAGTGCGTGAATACTTGAAACTGTGTGCTGTTTTTCTGACTGTCCAAATGTTCTTTTGTAGACATGTCACGACGTGATTGTCTAGCTCCATGTCTGTTATCAAGTTACACTGTGAAGTGTGCCACCCTTTTGAGGTGGTCAAAGACACAGATTGCTTGTTGTTTAACCAAGTGTCCTAAAGCATGTACATGAGGTTATTTTTTATTCTAAAAAGCTATGCAGCTTATATTCTGAAAACTATTAAAAAAAATACCACTGTTGATGTTACTTGTGACCATTCTTAATGGAATATGACAGGGAGTGCTCAGAAGGCGTGCTCGGCCTCGTGTCTGCTGGATCAGCTGGCTGTCACTAGTTTATGCTGTGTATCATGACCACAAAACCACAGGGGCTTAACTACAGTCAGGGTGTGTTTCTTGATTGTGCTTATGTCTGATGGGTGAGCCCCAGCATGCTGGCCTCGTGGCAGAAGATGAAGGGCAAGTTGGTGGAAAGACACAATGGCTCATAAAGATACTGCTCCAAGATGAAATGTAAATGGAAGAGATGTGTCATCAGCCAAAACCCTCTGGGCGGCAGGAAGTTTAACTTTCCAGCAGGGGTGGGTCTAACAGGGAAGGACACCAACATGAGGACTGTGATGCCATCGATCATGTCTACCTTTAACTGACAGGACCAGTTAACCTGGAGCTACCCAACTGGTGTACCAATACAATGGTTCACTTGGTCCTGGGGCCTGGAACAGAAGAATTCCAGTAAGCTAGGTTGCGCAAGAGTGCCATCTCCAGTTTGTGCCGTGGCGGGAAAGGGGTTAGGAAGCACAGTAGCAGTCCCTTGATACCCGTCAGGAACAATGAGGTTGGGTGAGAGGCGGACGTGCCTGAGTCACTGAAAAGCTGCTTCGGACAGGCTTGCTCTCTCACCTGGAGCTCGACCTTTACATCTGCCTTACTTTCCTCTCCATCTCCATCCAAACCCAGATCTTGTCCTAACTTCTGGACATTTATCCTGTCTTCCATTCTGCTTTCCTCTGACTGCATGGCAGCTGCGGCTCTGTTAAAATGTAGCCTGAACTGCTAATCACTTTGCTAGCTTCACTTCATCACACAACATCCAAGGACATCTTTCTGGATTCCTGTGAAGAAGGCACCATTCCTACTGCTTAGCATAACCTGGCTCTTGTCCCTTCTCTCCCAACATGCTCACCACACAGTTTGATCTGGTCACAGCAAAACTGGCCCTGGAATCGCCAGTGTTCCACGCATTCTTCGTCTAACGATTTAGAGGGAAATGATACAAAACATTTCTAAACGCCACGCAGAACATCAATAGAAGATTCTTACAAGATACTACGAGGGAGTATTCCCACCAGATAATGAAACAATAACATAACATACTAATCCCAGATGAAATAATCCTGAGGATTATTCAAACCCTAAAAGAATTTACCACAAGTATCAACAAAGCCCAGGAAGATGAATGAATTAGTTCATAAATGGTATTAAAGTTATAGTTTACAGCTGGAAAAGAACTTACATCACTGTCATGCTAGAAACCAAAATTCTAGATGGAGTAAATATTTTAAACATTAACACAATGGAAAAAAAATTTTTTTTAAAGAATTACAAAGCTCGGAAAGGGAGAAGATGAAACTGAAAAGTCTCAAAAGGAAAATACACATGACTGTGTAGAAACAAAGCTATAAAAAGAAAAGGATCAAACTTAAAAGTTAAATAGGCAAACCACCCATATAAAATTAGAATAAAAGTCTGGATCATCATAAATTGACCAAAGGCAAAAGACAACTCACAGATAAGTGATGACATTAGTGCATCGCTTCACACAATGCCAAGGTAATGTTTAAAACAGCTAATCACTTGAGTGCTTGAATGTGCTGGGTCCTGTTCTCAGCACACTACATGTAACAACTCGGGTAGATGCCATTATTTTGCTGTACAGATGAGGAAACAGGTAAGGGGCCATGGGGAGAGGGTCATGAAGTAGCCAGAAGAACACAACTAGGAAAAGGGAGCGCCAACAATTTCAACAAGCGAGGCAATCAAGTAAATGCTCAGTAAACAGGTAACAACATTTTTGGCTGTGTTCGGAACAATCCCATTTTTAAAAGTACAAAGTATTCACCAACCCCACTTACAGTAACAGCCTGGCGCGGGGTTGAGAGGAGGATAAAACAAGTTTAGTGAAATAAAACCTTCAGGTGTAGGGATGTTCAGTTTCTCGTTATCAGCAATACAAAATTCTTAAAGCTGCAATGGGACAACCATTTAAAAGCTTTGTAACTTAACGACCGACGATTATGAAAACTACAGCACCAGGAAAAATGCTTAAGATAGAAAAGAGGATGAAAACGAGAAGGGGAAAAAAAAAGACAAGAGCAGGATACAAGTTTTAAGAGAAATTAACATTTAGAACTTTAGTATTTTTAACTATGCACACTAAATCTCAAAAGGAATATAGTGAAGACGTTTTCTCCCCTCATCCCCAAAACCCTTAACCTTCTTTTAATGAAACTCTTAACCACGTGCCGGGAACTGGCACCTTACCACTCTTACATTCTCAGAATAATCCATGACGCAAGAATGGTTAACTCATTTCACGGATGAGAAAACAGGCTAAGAAAGTGAAACTGCTCACTAAACAGGGTCCAAACCCCCGGGCTTCTGACAGAAGCCAAAGCACACTCCGCAGCCAGTCTCCCGGGAAACCGGGCTCGCCCCGCCCCGCCCCGTCACGCCCCCACTTCCGCTCCTGCGCGCTGGGGCCCTGGCGAACCGCGCAGCTGGAGGACATGGCCACTTCCCGGTTACCCCCGGCGACGCTAACGCTAAAGCAGGTACCTGCTGTTCTCGCCGGCCTCTCAGGGTAGTTTTCCGGGGTCTGGGCTCGATTCTCTGCCGCTCCCTCCACTCAATCTGCAGAATGGGCCTCGGGCAAGACTGGGGTGGGCGGCCCTCTGTGATTGGCTCTCGACGGGGGGCGGAGCTTCGCGGCGCTGGGCCAACGGGAAGCGCAGGGGGGCGGGGCTGCTCTCGAGTCCCGGATGACGAGGCGGGCGGCTCTTCACCTCTAAGCCCGGATGTCTCTGCTGCCTAGTGGCCTTGGTAAAGACTGCCCTGCCTGTTGCACTGAGCTGTGGGAAAGAGCAGATGCGATTACCAAGGGATTTTAACTGAATTTAGGAAAAATGCTGTTACTGTGGTTACAGCTTTTAAGAGACTGGGAGCCCTTTTTCCTGCCCAGTCGTCAGCCCTTGATTGTAAGGGTTCTTATGTTTGACAGAGGAGTAAGACAGCCCAAGTAAACTTATCGCAGTTGTCTTAAAAGAATAAAAGGTGTTTTTCTTTGTCCTCTTAAAGACTGAGGACCAAAGATAAGTCATCTTGTGACAGTTGGGTTTGCTAAAGCAGAGCCCGCTGGGCTGTCACTGCTGCAGCTGTAATGGCCATTTCTCCTCCCCTGTACAGTTTCTGAGAAGGCAACAAGTTCTCCAACTCTACAGAAGGATTTTGCAGGCAATTCGGCAAGTTCCGAATGATTCTGATCGCAAATACCTGAAGGACTGGGCAAGGGAAGAATTCAAAAGAAACAAACGTGTCACCGAAGAGGTGAGACCAAGGTCTTGTTAAGGAAATGCCCTGACCCTTTTGTACTGATGAATGAGTTTCTTAAAAATTTAGTAGATATCTTGGAATGTCACTGAGATGGTATATCTTGATCACTGCTCTCAATGTTACTGATTTTTCACTTACCTGATGTTTTAAATTTTACAATATGTGCTATATCTACACTCTGTGGTAGTATCACCCAACTTTTCTGTTAACACTCCCTCCCCACCATGGAAAGATAATATTCCAGCATGATGGTTTAGGAAGTATGACTGGGATGTATGAAAGTATGCCAGACACTGTGTACCCCTAATTGTGAGCTTTTGGCTTTCCTAAAACACAGCAGCTCCAATTCTCAGTATTGGTTCTTGACTTTAACAAAATGGGAGAACCATACCTTGTTTAACCAATTAAAACAGTGACCAGATTTCACTTTCTTCTACAGGACGCAATCCGGATGATGATTACTCAAGGCAATATGCAGCTCAAGGAGTTAGAAAAAACACTTGCTTTAGCCAGATCTTAACTACAGCATTATTCTGCAAGATTTCCGAAGTCTCCACGTGTTCAGGTTGAGCTTAGGCTCAACAATGGGCAGCCCAAAGCCAAGTGAAACTGTATATAGAGCCCTTGGGCAAACTCTCAGAACATGAAGCATATCAGAGGGAGCCAAGAAAAGTGCACCAGAGTAAATGCCTTAGCACTGCAAAACAGACCCTGTATTTTGAAAATGTTTCTGGATGTGTCAGCAGTTTTTGTAAGCAGCAAAAATCAGTACAACAGATGGTCAGCACATAAAAAGATGTTCAGATGGTTAATTACCAGGGAAATACAAATCAAAACCACCATGAGATACTATTTGCATCCACTAGAATGGCTATAATTAAAAAGGTAGGTAATAACAAATGTTGGTGAAGATGTGGAGAAACTGAAACCCTTATACACTGCTGGTGGGACTATAAAATTGTGCACCCACTTTGGAAAACCAACTGTCAGTTGCCCAAAAGGTTAAACGGTATTACTCATAATAGGCAAAAAGTAGACAATCCAAATGCCCATCAACTGATTAATGGATAAATAAAATGCATAACCATATAATAAAGTATTATTTAGCAAAGAAAAGGAAATGAGGTACGGATACATGTTACACATGGATGAACCTTGAAAACATTAAGAGGCCAGTCACAAAAGATCACATATTGTATGACTCCATTTATATGAAATGCATAAAAAAAAAAGGCAGAAAGATTAGTGGTTGCCAAGGGCTGTGGATGGACTGGAGAGTAAGTGCCAACAGCTATGGGGTCTCTTTTTGGGATGATGAAAATACTCAAGTTAGACTGCAGTGTTGGTTGCACAACTCTGAATATACCAAAATCTATTAAATTGTACATTTTACATGTATGGGATGTGAATTATATCTCAATAAAGCTGTTGTTCCCCCTACTTGTTCTGAGATATAATTGACAAATAACATTGTATAAGTCAATAAAGCTGTTTTAAAAAACAATGTGAGATGTAGGACCGTAGATATACTGACCTCAGGAGACACCCTGGAGCTTTCTTGAAAAGTCCTTCCATGTTACCCCTCATGGTGGTTGAGGTACGTCCTTCAGGTGTGTCATGATCAGAGGATTCTCTGAAAAGATCTCCACTGGGAATCTAGAATTTTATTGGAAAGAGAGGAGAAAGAAACTTAATGAACTCACCAAAGCACTTCCCAAAAAGAGGAGGCAACTTCTGGATGAAACAAATGTGGTTACCTTCACATCTGCAGAGAAAGTAAAATAAATGATTAAGGAAGTTCCTCAGTGCATTAGGTTCTCCTCCAGTCACAGGAAAAAATAGAATTTGAAGAGTACATTGGAGACAGAAGTTGACTTCAGGACACTTGAAAGAGATCAAAAGTGTAACAATTTAGTGCAAGTGAAAGCTTGTGGAAGAGGCTGGGATTGGCAGTTCACTTATAGAACAGATCTAAAAAGTCAACCCAAGAATCTGACCAGTATCTAAAAGTGTAGACAAAATTTTGCAGAGTGATAAATGGTATCTGGTATTGGACCATGTGCCACTGGAGAGTGACATGTCAGTAACTTGCATTGCCAGGGCCCACCTGAGCCACCCACAGCCTCAGAGCCCACAGGACAAAATAATTCTGCATACTCTTCCACGGGAGGATGCACTCGTTTAAAATGTTTGCATGAGCCAATTTTCAGGGTTTTATATAGATGTACATTAGTCAAGCCATCTGACAAACAGAAGGAAAAGCATTCGTGAAACAGTTTCTGAACAGAGAACACCTTAGAAATACTTGTTTTGTGTGTGTGGTACGATGGACATACTCAAGCACAGCCTGTCTTTAGTAAATCTAAAATCTTGAAGTTAAATCTTCCCTTTATGAAGTGTGGCAGTCAGTGACTTTGATGTTCTTTCTAACAGTGGTGTATGTGGACAATGTGAGAGCATTTGTGGTCTGTCTGCAAGAATCAAATACCACAGAGTCCCCAAAAAGACCTTATTTGGGGTTTTGTTTTGATTTTGGTTTCTTAAGTGGATAAAACACTAAAACCTGAGTTTTTGTCTTATAGAGGCTAAGATTATTCTCACGGACAAGCTTTTACCGTCAACTCCAAAGAACACCTTCATTTAATTTGTTCACTTAAATCTTTGATTATCTCCTCTGAATTATAGGACAAGTCTGTTGGTTAGCCCAAGAGGAGATTTATTTAGCAATTTCTTCTCACATATGAAACGATGGTCATTAAGACGTTGGCCAGAATAGAACTGCTGGTGGAACACATTGTATTCATCGTCTGTATTGTGGATCAGGCAAATTAACTTTCTGGGTGTTCCCTGTAAACTATGTTCTTGTTTGAATGTTAAAGTTTTGTTCCTAAAGTTTAATTTTAAGGTAGTTGAATGTTTGATTCATGTATATGAACTACAATAAATCCATCTTTCTACATTATAAGTTTTTAAAATACAAAAGCTTTCTAGCATCTGAGAAGTGGCACCAGGCTATTTATTATTTCCTATGTTGGTGGCCCCCGTGTCATTTCCCCCCTTTAAGTTGCGCCATTGACGTTTTAAAACCATGGCACAGGCATTGCCGCGGGTGTGTCTGCAGAGACAAATGAACTTCTAATGTTTGAGGAAGGCAAAACATATTTCCTGGGGTTTGTATTACTGTAGTCACACCTCTCAGGAGAAGCTGAGTGAGAAAGGCCAACGCTCATGTGGCTAAATTACCTTTTATGGAATAAGGAAAATCCGAGTTAAAAGCCAAAAGGAAGCAGCTCACACTTACCTTGAAAAAAAAAAATGGGATTGTGTACAGTAAGGCTCAAACAGGATCAAAAGTAAATTGTCACCAGAAGTTACCACCAGCCATCTCCTTCCTTGAGTCAGGCATTTGAGAAATACTTTAGGATTAAGTTTTCTACTTCTGTTTACTGAGAAAGAGTAAATCATTTTCACCCAGTCCATTTTGTATTCTAAAAAGTGCTTTACTGCACTGTCTTGCTTTTGTTTCTCATGGATTTAAAGTAATGTATTCAGAGTCAGAATATTTGACTGAATAGAACAGGAAAAGGGTATTTCCCCTTAAATAAAATTACAACTGAAAATATATTTCAAAGTATTTCTTCATAAAACATTCTAAGAGGTCATTAGTTTTTTAAAACTAGTTTGTCTTTTACACCTTAATATACTTAAATACTAAAATACTTAAAGTACCTAGCTTTTTATCACAAGAAATATATTTAGCTTTTAGAAACAATTTGTTAGTCAAAAAATGTTAACTTAGCCTGTGTAAAATTGCAAGTGATGTCCTGTCCCCTTCTGCTTTGTTCAGTAGTTTCCACAGGGTCATCAGTTTAAACATTTAAGCTTATACTGAGGAATCTTTTCATGTTACAGCAGGCTTTAAATTTTTACTTTTTCATGCAGTCCACGTGATCTTTCCTTTCAAGCAGGTGTATTTACTCTAAATTACATTATTAGAAACAAGGTAAGCATAGCTAGGCGAAGGCACTCTTTCACAGGAACCATAAAATTTGATCAACCACACAAATGAAAACATAGGCTGAACAAAGTATTCACTTTCATTTTTTAAATAAGGAATACTATCCATAGAGTTGAGAACTATATTTAATGCTCAAAGAGAAATTCAAGATGATAAAAATATTAAATAGAAGACAACATACCTCTTAAGCATCAACGCTTGACTGGAAAAAAAAAAGAAAAAAAAGAGGGTAAAACATGAAAACATCACTTCCTTTATTTTGGGCTCCCAAAGTCAAAAGTAAGATTAGAACTAATATTCAGTCTACTGCAGGTATTTACCATACTCAATGCAATAATACACTAACAATTTTTTAAACTGCAACCTTGTACGTCTTTTGTGTTTTACATAATTCCCACAGCTATTGAAAATTCCAGCCTGTTTGAAACACAACCTACACGACAGGCTATAAATTGTTAATAGTTCTGCTGCTTTGGAAAAGCACTGCTGTGGCATTTGTGCATTTTAGCAGATAGCACAGGGAAAAAAAATAAAAACACATGAGACCCGTAGTCGAGTTTTTGACAATGCTAAGGAACAAAAGCAGACCACAGGTATTGAAAAAGCTATTGCATTGGTCTTGAGAGGCTGTGATCTCTTTGGGTTAGAGGCTGGCTGGCCCTGCTCAGGTTCCTAGCGTATTGGTTTTTCTTTCCCTGGGAGACAAGATCCACATCACCTGCCAGACTAGGAGCATCTGACCCTTCACGGTCCTCCCTAACCTCTTCCCTAACTGTGACTGACAGAATTTTCCAGTTCACAGTAAGCTGCCCGCCTCTGATGCACAGGAGTTATGTAATCAAAATACTTCCCACCCAAGCACTCGATGGTCCCGACAGTTAAAATCTTTGTCAGCATTTCTCAACAAGGACAACCCTTGAGGTAGCAGACTTTCTAAAAGGTGAAAACAGTTCCTGCTTGGAACATGACTTACTGAACATCTCAGGGTTTCAGTGTCAGGCAGCTCCCAACAGACTGATGTACACTGAGGAAGGGTTCTAAAGAGGTTAGTGATGCCCTGTTGGGGACTGATTTAGAAAACTCAAGGTACCATCTAGCTCTACAGTCCTGTGATTCTGCATTGGGAACAAATAGGGAAATGAAGAGACCCAAGAGCCCCTGGAGTTAGCAATCCAGCGAGTCTCTGGGGACGAGCCATCCCACCTGGTAGTGGAGGAGCAAGACGAGCTTACAAACCTGAAGATAAACTTGAGAGAACACCAAATTAATTCCCTATCCTGGTTCTGCAACGATGACCTACACCTCTACATTTATTAGGAATGCCTAGACCCACAGATGATCACTATTTAAAAGAACAAGCCAAAACAACTGTGAGCTCCATGGGCAGAAAACACAGGGACTAAATGCATACTTTGTTTTTCTGGGTATTCCCAGGTCGAGAAGTCATAATTTTCCCTTTGGCTCACTGAGCAACACTTGATTCAAAATTACACACAACAGTTACTTGGTTTATAGAAATGGAATCAAGGTTTCTATGCATATATGGAATTTTGAGGAGATGAATATAATGCCACATTGCAATGCAAGGGACAAGAAGCCAGGAAGATAAATAAATTCAAAATTTCAACTTACCTAAGCTACTTTTGCAACTCTGTACTCCATAGAGGAGGGTAAAATCCACAGGGCTCCAGGAAGCTGGGCAATCTAAATCAAGTTACTGAATTATTTACCTTGACATAGTCACTGCAAAGCAGTGGAAAGCTTTGAGGTCCTTCAATGACAGAACTCAATTCAAAATGAAATACCTTTTAATAAACAGCCTTATTTCTTTATAAAATGTAGACCGCTATGCTCAAATTCAGAAAAGTACTCAAAGATAAATGGCTGTGAGTTAGTTTATAGAAGTTTCATTGTTACATGAATTTTTTCCCATTAATCCGCTTTAGAAATCACTATGATTGTAGTGTTTCTGTATTTTGGCTGAAATATACAGAAGCCATGATCAAATGATGTGCACCTTTCTCATTTGAGTTCATTTATTAGCAAACATCTCCAGTGCTATGAGTCAATTACTCATTATTTAAATACACTTTGATTTTTTGAAACATTTTAAGATATCCTGGATCTTGTGACATCATGAAAATCTTTCTCCTCAAAATTTATTTAAGTTTTCCCCTGGTTAAAACATCGGCATTGTGAGAACTACAGACTTGAGAGCGAGGGTTTAGCGCGTCTGTTGCAGCTCTTACAGAAAGACGCTCTGGTCCAGGCACGGCAGGTGTGTTTTACATAGGAGTGACTGCTTGATTTCAGTTCACAGGGGATTAATATCTTTCCCTGCTCTTCATTTACATTGTTTCATATCCTGAATATTAAGGTTTAGGTTTAAACATCCTTCCATTCGTTAGCATGGCTTGCTTAATCTGAGCTTTTGAACTTCAGATGAACTTGGGCTGAGATTTCAAGTTTGTAATGAAACCTGAAACTAAGCAAGCTTCCCCTGGTTTCAGTCTAATTGTTGACGTCTTCATAACCTCAGGGCATAGGAAGACTGTGTCTGGCACATTTTAGAAATTAGTGATTTTTTAAAGGCAAGTCTGCTCTGTGCACAGTAGCAGCCGAAGGACTGGAAATCCTCAACAGTCCTGCCTGGTGCCACTTCCCAGGCCCTAGTTTTCCTTCTGTACCTTAGTCCTCAGTTTAGCAAGTTCCTCCTCTAAACTTTTAATATGTTCCTCCAGCGTGGCCTTGTCTTGCTGGGCTTTCTGACTGGCTTGGCTCCGCGCCTCTTCAATCTTCCTTTCGTACCACTTTTCCATCTGGGTAGAGACAGCCTCAAAAAAATACTGGGTGAGCTCCAGCGCCTGGGAGGTGTCTCGGAGGTGGGGGGCGGTCTGCTCGCCGCCTGCTGCTGGGGGCGGCTGCCTACAGGTGTTGCTGGGCGCTGGCTGCTGGGTCCGGTGCCTCGTCTGCCCGCTTTTCCCAGACTTCTTGGTTTGGGTGCCTCTGTCAACACAGGGCCCAGCCTGCAGATCACATTTGGTGGCCTCTTTCAAAGGGAGCAAGGCTGTCTGGACCTTGACGTTCCTCAGTCGGGAGCCCGTGCAGTCGGAGGAAGACAGCTCCTGCTGGAGTCTGTGGGTTGCTGTGGAGCTGAGGGCCTTCTCCTTGGGCCTGACCACCGGAGGGGAACTGTCCGAAGCTGCCACTGGACCTGCAGTCACCACCGACTGATCCACACCTGGTTTTGGAAGGAAAACAAAACTCAGAGTGATTGAATGCATGTCCATCCAGTCACGTGGGTCGGCGTTTGTGTCCTGGGAATCCTGTAACCCACCAGCCTCTTCAATCATCACCCACCATGTACACCTTCTCCTGTCTCTCTGCTCCACTTCGCCCCTCATGATCATTTTGTTTCATCGGGGCTTTCATGGATACTGTGTTAGACATACTGGTGGCATCTATGCCAAAAACAACACTGGCCTCTCCTTTAGCCTGTCTCAATCTACACTAGAAGGCTCTGGGTATCATTTCCTGATTGCTAAGGATGACACATCTCACCACATGTCCCAAAAGAGAACTGGGTGCTTATTGGTAAGAATGAACACCCCCATTCTCTAACTTCTGGGCCTTTTCCACACCATCGCCCCAGTTATTAGTCTGTTGACCAAAGCTCTCATTTGGAGAGGTGGTCCTATTCCTTGTACCCAGAGCTCCACGGCAAGTTCTGTAACTAGTCCTAGCATGCAAAATTTGCCCAGGATTTCTCCCACTGTTACGGGCACAAGGAAGATAAAACCACAGATGTGGAGATGGTCTATGGGAATGTGAAACACTTGACGTATCAAAATTCCCCCATGGAGGTCTAATTACTAAAGCTGTGATGTCTTCAAAGGACCATCACTGAGCATAACCACTGCAGCTACTGCAAAGATGCTCTGCACAAAGCTTCTCTTATCTAGCCCCTGGGGCAGCTTCGGTATATGAACTTCTATTTAATGAGGATGTACCGGGTTGGCCAAAGGTAGAAAGGCTGATCAAGGAGAAGAAAGGGAAAGTGGTACAAGGGCTAGGGTGAACTCTCTGCTGAGGAGACAATCTCCTCACCCCATCTTAAGGGTCCACTCTTTCGCCATCAGTATTGCACTACTGTCAACCATCAACAATTCTTTTTTTCTTTCACTTAAATATTTTTGAACACTTAAATAGCAGTGCTGTATTACTGTATAGGAACTGCATATACCATAGTGAGCAAAACACGGTCCTTGCCCCTACAGAGTTCACACTCCAATCCAGCATCTTCTGTAGCCCTACCACATGGGCTGCCTTTGTGCAGGAGAGAACGCAACCCAGGGGGGTATCGCCACCTTTGGATAGAGGGCTCTCTCTGCATGTCAGTTACCTGTGGACGACTCATAAGTGGAAGGTGTGGATTTAGTCCTGGACACCCTAGAATCTCCAGAAAGCTTCATCTCCAGATTCTGAATCTTTAACATGCACCAGGTTTTTAATTCATCCACCAAGGACATCTAAAAAAAAAAAACCCACAAGTTAGTACACAAAATAATCGGGAGAATTTGATACATGATATATGAATTAAAGCATCAAGAGTAGGCTTTTCAATTATTATCCTGACAAGCCCCAAAGTTGTGGGTTGCCCACGTCCCACTGGCCACACAGCACTCTCTGTTGACCCTCTGAAGCCCAGGACTCCCCCAGTGCCCAAGCTGAGTACTGACGATGATCTTTATTAAGTGACTCAGAGGCACCTTAAACACAAACACTCAAGGCTTCTCAAGTCTTCCAAACCAAGCGTGTCTGGCTGATGGAAGCAAGAACTCACACACTCACAAGTGCTCATTTCATGTCTGCTGTCCTGAGGCAACCCAAACTCTCTAAGGGTAGGAATCAAACTTGTGCAACAAAGAGTCACGGCCCAACAGAGCCACGATGCAGAACTGATTCAGGGCAGAGCTGACCTCTCCCCCGGAACATTCTATAGACTGTTCGGCCTCCGCCTGTTGCAGGCATATTCAGCCACAAACAAGAGCTGAACCCTGGGTTCTTTTCTATTAACTACATTTCAGGTTAGAAAAATGGCATGCTCTGCAATGTGAATGCTCTTAGAGGGCCTCGACCTGGGAGCTTTCAATGTTGGGTCTGAGTCCCTTAACGCAGGAGAGACGGGTGGTAAATCACAAGATCAAGACAGACAGATCCTGGTCTTCACCTGCCGTTTCTCTCCCTCATGCTTTTCCGCGTCCGAGTGCTGTTGCAGGCGGTTCAGGCACTCTGTCCTCTCTGCTGAGAGTCGCTCAACCATCAGCTTGTCCAGGACACGCATCTAGGATTCAATGGGCAAAGGGAGCATGACCGAGATGACCTGGGGATGGGCCCTGGGGTCCAGGCAGGGGCCGGGCAGAGGCCAGCAGACCTCAGCTCCTTGCCCTTCCCTGTTCTTGTGACATTCATGGAACTCAAGCTTTTCAGAATTCCTGAGCCTGTTTCTGCTAATGCTACTTTCTTTTTCTCCTTTAAAAGTCTTAAGGCGTTTAAAAGACCATAAATAAAGCACAGTAACTATACAACTCAAGCCAATACAGTCCTTGTAGGTAAAAGAATTTTTATAGGTCTTAGAACATTATCTCCAAGACTTATTTCAAGAAGTATGGCGCTATCCCACCTCCTCTTTTTAAAAAATTGGTTTTTTAATCCCCTTCCCCTTTTTTAAATGTTAGTGGCTGCCAAGAGGACATGGAAGAAGCTGAATATTCTGGGCTTTTATCCCAGAATAAAAGAGAACAAATCCTCTTGGCCCTTCACTGAAAGTAGTCAAAGCCCGGGAAGAAGGGTGTGGAAGGAGTTCAAAGGGATTGCTTCAGGGGGCAAATGACTGTCACCTTTCAATCACATGCCCACCCTCACCCGGACATCTCCTGTAGGGCTCCAACACCCGGAGGGGCCAGACTTCAAAGGCTTGGAACAGGTCCAAAGAAGGGAAAGGAACTGGTGTTAGCGGGAGCCACCCACTGAGGGCTCACCGCCGAGTTCCCCTCCCGTCAGGGACATACCTGATTCTCCACACCCAAATGTTCAAAAATAAAAAAGCTGCATCAGTTCTGGAGATGCAGCAAGCGCCTTCTGTTTGCCCTCTTTAGCCCTCACGTCTTCCTGTGAACTGCTTTCCTCCTGTTTTCGACGGCTGGCCTGCTCCCCTCCACCTCCTATCCCCTGCCCAGCCAGATGGCTCAGCCCAGAGCACCCATGCTGATCCGTGGGCGTGTTCCCGGGGCACGGCTGACTGGTCCGGGCACGCGCACCTGACTCACACTGGGCCCGGAGTCCTTTCCCAGAGACTGGGAATTCGGACCAAGAATCTACAACTGAATCTGTCACCTTCCTTGAGACCTCCCACCACTCACCTAACACGTTCCTCTCTGGGCTTGGGCTACCTGAAGTGGGGTTTTATTCACAAAACAGTCATAACTAATGAATTATGGTTCTAAGAAGAGATTTTTTAAGTGGGCTTTCTATGAAGTGCAAATAACAAATAAACCTTAATGTTAAATTTCAGTAGTCAACAAGGAAATAAAAATTAAACAAATGTCCTTAATCAGTTTGGCAAAACCTGTTTTTAAAAAAAATGGTAACATTAATGATGGCAAAGGTTTGAGACAGAAACTCGATACTGCTGATAGGATATAAATGGACACAACCTTTCCATTAAGTAGTTTGCCAATATTTATCAAGAGCCTTAAACATAGTCTTAACTTTGGACCCAATTATCCTAATTCTGAGCAAATAACCTGGAAAGCAATCAAAAGTTTATGCTTATAAACGTTCAGTCATTATTTATTAGAGTGAAAAAGTGTAAGCAAATTTAGTGTCTAACAAAAGGAATGGTTAAATGAATGACGTTGTATTAACATGCTGGAATATTAGGAAGCCAAGGACGTGGGAAAATGCTCATGATATAAAATTAAGTGAAAAAAGCAGGAAGCAAAATTATGGGTACACCCCTCGCACAGAAATAGCACACTGCCATTAAACAGCACATGGCAGCTGCACATGCCTAAGGTATATTACTAAATTAAAAAGTCAGATGCAGAAGCAGCACAGTACAGTTTCACTTTTGTTTAAAAGTGGTAATTAGTGAGGTTATATCTGAAAAAGAGAAAAACCCATGGGAAAATACACAGTAATGGAAGGGATCCCTAGGGAGTGTCGTTACGATAATAGTTCTGTATATGGAATGTTTTTCCCAATGAATATTTTATTATTATGTAAGCTTTTTACTGTTCAGGGTTTTATTTGTATTTAAAAACCTACATCTATCGCACATTTCTTTTCAATGACAAAGGGCAAACATACTTTTACAATGGAGAGACATGGTGGTTAGCTTCACACCGTTAATGGGACATACTGACATCTGTGTCTTCTGAT